TCCCTGGGTAGGTGTATACCAGGGATTCCTAGAGAATGGTAGTGAATTACCTTAGCCAGAGGCTTATAAAAACAAAACCCATGGGGCTGTGTACTTCTATCTTTGTCCAGTCAAGAGCAAATATATATCCTGACGGACTTCCTGCCTATGCATCTCCCCTCTATGTGTGATCAAGCATAGCCTGTGCACTTTGGGCAACTAAGCTTGTTGGAAACAGCAAAAACAACAAGTGGTTTGTTATCTTACATGGACAACACTCTCAAGGATACCAGGAAGCTAACTGTCCTTGGGCAAATGAGGCTTTTTTGTTTTATAGTTCTCTTAAGGACAGTGATTTAAATTTAAAATGTAACATTAATGCTCACAGTCTATCGTGTGGCATGTCTCTACTGAGAAGGCAGGAACTGCTGGGGCCATTCTGACCTTAGTTCTCCTCATCTGAAAACGATTCTTCATAAGTCAGCCCTCCTTCTATTCTGCATCCACAGAGTGTTATAGAAAGAATTTTTTTTTTTACTTTTTTTGTTTGTTTGTTTCGGTTTTTTTTTCCAAGACAGGATTTTTCTGTGTAGCCTTGGCTGTCCTGGAACTCACTCTGTAGACCAGGCTGCCCTCGAACTCAGAAATCTGCCTGCCTCTGGCTCCCAAGTATTTTTTTTAATGTTACATTTAATGTTACATTGTTGATGGCTGGCATCATATAATTAAGCCTGCAATGACTGCATTTGGTACTGAGTACTGGCCCTTTGTTCTTGTTGTTATTCCAGAAGTAACAACGCATTGGTGGGAACAAGAAACAGAAACTGGTGAAGTAGGGCAGGGATTCCAAAGCTTCCAAGAATGTCTTTGCTGGAGGGCAGGAATGCTGGGAGGGAGCTGCCATCTCTGACCCTTTACTGGAAGCTGTACCTGAGGGCCCAAATAAAATGCATAGAGGCACCTGAATAGGTCAGTTGGACAAACTGGCCTGACCACCCCACCCCCATCACATGCTTCATCCCCATTTCTACTATAAAAAGCCTTTACAAACCCCTCAGACTAGCAGCTCATTGTTACCCTATTTCTTGGGAACTTTTTGTTAATAGGAGCTCTGCTCTCCCTTTCTCATTCCCCCACCCTGGTCTTCTTTGCCTCCCCTTCCCCTCTCTCTTTTCTTCCCCCTTCTCTCTTCTCGGAACCTATAATAAAATTTCTCTCTGAAACTCACCTTCGGGTAGTGTGGACAGCTTTTGGGGCTGCTTGGCAGAAATCTGACATTGGGCCATGATAAGAAAGTAAGTTCAGGCAGGAATCTAATTTTAGGCTAAAACAGAGAAATAATTTCAGTCAGGAATCTAAGTCTTAGGCTAGAACAAAGAAGTAGGCCTCAGACATGATTATGACTGTGGGCTAGAACAGGGAAGTAGGCTCAGATATTTCTGTCATCCTGATGAGCCCTTAGAAACAGTGATGATGAGAGTGATCACAGGACTTTGTCTTTTGCCTTGTTTGTTCATTGACTATTTGTATCTATTGTATTGCTGACTCCTCAACCTAGAACTGACCTAAATACTTGCATGTAATTAAAATGGTTTAAAAGAACATTGAGAAAAATTAAACCTGCCTCAGCCTTCAGCCTCAGAACTGGCTGGGGTCATGCTACAATGTTGTTTAACTAATCATCTTTTTGTTTGTTTGTTTTGTTTTGTTTTTCAGACAGGGTTTCTCTGTGTAGTTCTGGCTGTCCTGGAGCTCACTCTATAGACCAAGCTGGCCTCAAACTCAGAAATCCGCCTGCCTCTGCCTCCCAAGTGCTGGGATTAAAGGGTGTGCCACCACTGCCCCGAGTCTTTTTTCTTTTTAATCCTCACTCCTGTGCTGGAGAACCCGTTGACTGACTGAGCTGGTTTGTTCAGGGTAGTCCATGTGTTAGACTTGGGGGCGTAGCTTAGAACAGACAACAGCAGACAAAACAGTTCGGGGGGGGGGAGTTATTCAGGAGATAGGGCAAAGGTGGGGGGGGGAGAAATGGGAGAAGATGGCAGAGAAAGAAGAGAGAGAGAGAGGAGGAAGAGAGAGGAAGAAGAGAAGTAGAGGCCGGCCATGACCACATGGAGAGAGGGGGGAAGGGAAGGGGAGAAGGGTGAGGGGGCAGAGAGAAGCTAGAGGCAAGAGAGCAAAAGAGCAAGAGAGAGAGGAGGAGGCAAGCAGCCCCTTTTATAGTGGGCAGGCCTACCTGGCTATTACCAGGTAGCTGTGGGGAGGAGCGTACCTGGGTGTTGCCAGGTAACTGTGGAGGTGGAGTTTAGACAGAATACTAACACCATGGATTTCATTCTTTGAATTTGAGCGAAGAGAACCTGGAGGTGACTGAGTCAGCGGAAGTTTTGTGTGACCATGAACATCTCATGAGTTAAAAGCCCACTCAAGAGCCGAGGAAGCGTCTGCTGTTTGTAAAGACACTCCCAAACTTTCCCATATCAGTGTGACAGCACTAATACTGGATAAGGCACTATAAGCAATCTGAAGATGATTTAAAGACTACAAGATGGTATGTGCCACTTCTGTACAAACACATCATTTTCTACAAGATACTCGAATAGCATCCATTTCAATTCTCCATGGGGATTCTGTAACTGATCCTCCTAAGAGTCTTGATTAATGACAGGCTTAAGAAATATAAGGGCTGGGCAGTGGTGGCGCATGCCTTTAATCCCAGCACTTGGGAGGCAGAGGCAGGCAGATTTCAGAGTTTGAGGCCAGCCTGGTCTACAGAGTGAGCTCCAGGACATCCAGGGCTACACAGAGAAACCCTGTCTCAAAAACAAAACAAAACAAAACAACAACAAAAAAAACATCAAGAAATATAAGGTGTGTGATGGAGTTTTATGTATCTTACCATGCTGAACAAATAGAGGATGTTTTAGTGGTGATGATAAGGAAGTGTTAAGTAGAAGAATTGAAGTAGAACATACAATGCCCTAAAAGGAGACAGAAGTACCTGGATGATGGTACACGATGCAATCCCAGTACTTGGGAGGCTGGCACAGCAGAATCAGGAGTTCAAGGACACTCTTAAATACACAGCAAGAGCAAGTCTGCATCCAATCTGAGCTATGAGACTGCAGAAGAGGTGTTTGTATTTTTTGCAGGGGTTGAGGGAGCAGGGTCTCTCTGTATAACAGCCCCAGCCTACCTGGACTCAAGTTGTAGACCAGGCTGGCCTTGAACTCACAGAGATCCACTTACCTCTGGCTCCTGAGTGCTGGTTTAAAGGCATGTGCCACCATGCCTGGCCTTAGAAGAGGTTTTAAAAATAATATATTTTTGATGTTTATTTATTATGTGCCAAGCATTAGAGTGATTGCTTTGAATTAGTTTTGTTATTATTATTATTTTTTGAGACAAGGTTTCATGAGCTGGAATTTCTGATCTATGTGCTGGGATAACAGGTATGCATGACCTTACTAAGCTATAGACATTAACTTTAATTATCATCACTACATCCCTAAATAAACAGCAAGAATCTGAACCCAATTCTATTTCCAAAGTGTTAATTTTGGCACCTAGAATCTATTTATCACTTACAACACAAAGTTGGCAAATTTCAGAGGTGAAATCCAGAATCAACATTTTTTTAAAAAACAGCCACATTAATGTAAGAAAAGCATTCACTTTCAGTATATTGTAGTGAGCCTTCACCGTCCACAGTCTTAAAGGAAATTATATCTACAGTGCAGAAAAAAATGATTGAATAAGAACTTTCTTGAAAGTAGGGAGAATAATAAATGCGTTTAAGAACTGTGATTTCTATATATTGATTAAAAACTAAGAAATGAAAATTTGTATTTGTCCTTTTTGGGTTTATCATTTCTTCTGCGAGGAATCTCCAAATTCCTGCTTCACCTAGTCATTCTATGTTCCCATGTCTCATTTCAAGACTGGAGACAAACACTTGTCTTTTCTGGGAAGTCTTTCTTTATTCCCTCAACCAATAGTGTACACAGGTACATAATGATTCCTCTTCCTGTCATTTATGTCGCTTTACATTCTTCCTTCAGCACTGGACTAAGACTCTATAGGATGACATTTTTCAGAAGAGAGGAGCAGAGGGAGAGGTCATAGCTGAGTCCTTAGAAAGAACCCCTGGATGAACAGGAGGTAAAAGCCGTTGGGAGGCTGTACATTGCTCTTCGTGAAACATGAACATTTGTTGAGAAAATGAACATTATGTAGGTGTGTAGCAACTGGGGGCTTGTTCCTTAATTTTCCATCAATTCAAGCAATCAATTCTTTTCATAATTGTATTTTTAATCCATATAACAGTATAACGATGGTTGAAATTTTGTAAATAGAGAGTCTTCAGCAGATATCTTTTTCTAAGTATGATCACAAGTGACCTGATGAAAATAAAGCACGGGGGCATAGGGCTGTAATTCCAGGTAGCAGGAGGCTGAAGCAGGAGGATTCTCAGTTCAGGACAGCCCAGGATGTATATGGAGTCTAATTTAGGGAGACCATCTCAAAAACAAAACATCCAAACCAACCAAACAACAACAAAACGCGAACAAAACAAAAAACTTACTTAACCTCTAATCATGTTGCTTAGTATTTTAAAAATCACGATCTGTCACTTGACGTTGCTATGATGACTCTAATGTGACAATTCATGGCAAAATGCTTTATAAAATAGTGGTGGAGGGACAGAGACCCCAGTAACAATGTATAAACTATGTATATACTACTACTAATGTTATTCTTCTGCTCCAAACACAGTGAGTTAGTTCCTGCAGGCGTAGGATGGAATAACCGAGAAACTTTTAACTTTCAAGCAACTCGGGAACTGAGATCATTTGTCCTAATCCGGCACGGCCGCACCCGCTACGCTCAGAGTGCTTTTCCGGAACCCAACGTCTCTGACGCCCTGTGATGACGCAACACCCGCGAGCCTGTGTCTCCCTGAAGAGCCTCCGGGTTCGCGCCTGCGCCGTGGACGCTGCGGGTGGGCGGAACTGGTCGGGATGAGTGGCGGAGGGACAGAGACCCCTGTAGCGTGCGAGGCCGCCCAGGGCGGCGGCGGCAAGAAGCGGGATTCGCTGGGGACTCCGGGTGCGGCGCACCTCATTATCAAGGGTACGGAGTGGAGGGCGTGGTCCTCCGTGCGGGGTGGGGGAGCGTGCTGGGGACCGCCCCTCCCGGTGCTCCCCGACTCTCCCGCCGTCCTCAGCTGCCTGGCCTGCCTCAAGCCGAGAGGTCCCAGCTCGCACGACCCACAGTGGTCGAAAGGCGCACGAGTGGAGAATGGGAACTAGTTTGAGCCCCACACAGTCCCATAGTAGGGTGACTTCGGTCCTTCACCCTCTCGTTTTCTGTCCTCTGCGCCTGGGTCATGCCAGGAAGAAAGGACACTTGGGAAAACGTCCTGAAACACAGCGCTCAGTACCATACAGTGTACCGGTCTGACCTGTCCCCTTTGAGCCTTAGAAGATTTCGACCTAAACTATTACAGTAACAACTAACTAGGTTAAATTCCTAAACCTTAGAAGTCCTGTTTCCCGCGAAGAAGCCAACAATTGCAGTTTCCACTGCTTCCCTTAACTCCCTGCTAATCTCGTCTATCCCACCAACTTTCCGCTACACTGCCTGGAGAGTGGTGTCTTATGTAGGCGAGGTTTCCATTTTAATATTCCCCGGATCTGTGGGCAGCCCCAGCTGAGCTGGCTATGACTGTTTAAACTGTGTTTCACACTGTCTCTTACGTTTAATTTGGGAGCAAGTAGTATTGTGTGTGTGTTAAGACTCAGAATCCTTTCTCTGTGCAATCTTAGTGAAGATTAGTCGTTTTATGGCTATTGTTGGACTACTGTCACTCCATCCGCAAATGTTTTTCATCTTGTGAAACTTTGTACGTATTAAACCATAACTCTTCATACCACCTCTCTGACCAAACTGATCTATCTGTGAATGTGACTGGTCCAGGGCCTCTGAGGACTTAGATAGCTCCACTCTTGGAAATAATGCTGCTGTGAATATGAATACAGATACCTTTTTGAGGCCCTGTGTTCGGTTCTTGGGAATATATCTCCAAAAGTGGGTTTCTGGGTCATATGATGTTTCTTTAAACTTTCTGAGGAATTGACATGTCCTGTATTTGCTACACCATTTTCTATTCACTCATCGTTGCCAACACTTGTTATTTTCTGTCTTTGGTACTAGTCGTTCTTCGGGGTGTGAGATGATGCTCCCTGTTTTGATTCATATTTCCTGTAATATTTGGTGGTGAGTGTTTCCTTATGTACTTACTGACAACCTATTTTTTTAGGTAGTCATTTAATGTCCATTTAAGCCCTTTTCTTGTGTAAGTTGATTCTGTTATTGAGTTACAGTTCTTGATATATTCTTGGAAGACAGCTATGCTGGCCACTATACCATACCATCATTGCTGTTCTGTCTATATCCTCAGTACCCTTGAGCAGGAGTTTGCAGGCATTTTTTCCCCATTTTCCTGGTTGCCTATCACTCTGTTGATTGTGTCTTTTGAGGCAGAAGTTTTGCATTTTGAATAGTACTATTTTGTTGTTACTCCCGCCTCCCCCAGCACTGGAGATCAAGCCAAGGCCTCCCATATGCTAGACAAGTACCACACCTTGTCTAGCTACATCACCAACTCCCTTTTCTGTTTTTTGTTTTGAGTCTGGTTCTCACTTTCACTCTCAGGATTCAAACATACAACCTTCCCTTTAGTAGGAACTGAGAAAGTTGCAATTCTGTTTGGCCTCATCCTGTAATCCCATGGATCTTCCATCAAAGCACTTCTCTGTGATTTTGTAAGGAGATATTTGTCTAGCTTTCACATTAAGTTACAAACAAGTAGAGATCAAAGGATTATATATATTAGTACCATTTTTTTGTATACCAAACAGTAAAAGAATGTATATAGCCTGGCTAGAGTTGGATATCTATAGAAGTCTATATTTTACATATACATGATTAAGCTAGCAGAATTTATATTTAATATTCAGACTCTTACAAACTCTGAATTATTACAGTGGACTTGTTATAATGTTTCTGCATAATGTAACTTCTGTGCTAATGTGTATTTCACGATATGTTCCCCCATAGTTTCCCTCAGTTGCAGTTTTAGAAGTGACTGATAATCTACTTCTGTGTAGAACTGAATTTTCTGCGGAGTGTTAAGTGGGCTTTTTATCACCAGGCTGCAGAAGCAGATGTCTCCAAGCCGACAAACCTTAACTGCTTCTCAGTCATGTGGAAAGAGACGGTAACTCATGGGTGCTGTGTAAATATCACAAACAGCTTGCCCTAGGAGATACTCACCGGGGAAGAGGTGATTAGGGGACCTTGTGGGACATGATACAGTAGAAGTAGACCCCTCTGGCACTTCAGGAACACAGCATGTGGGCTGCTGAGAAACCTGCTCAAGAGGCCTGTGAGAAGGAAAGCCAGTGTTGGGGAAGAATGGCTCCGGTGTTGTAGAAGAAACCAGACATTAGCTGAAATGGATAGCTGAGGTATAGGGATCAGTCTGTGGCAGCTGGAGGGGCTGCATCAGGATGCCTGAGGCAGCATGGTGTGTTTACAAAACTGCAGCTCAGTTGGAACAGAAGACCTCACTCAGATAGACGTTTGGAGCTGACCTAGATATGTACTCTTCGTCAGTTGTGCTCTTGAATGTAGAGTTTGTACAAGGTCCATAAAGTCCTACACACACTTGGTCTCACTCAGGCAGTCCTGACTCCTAGTATACTAGATCCAGGATCTGAATAGTGAACTCTGCACACTCTGTTGCATACCATATTTCTCTCTCTCTCTTCTTGTTTGTTTGTTTGTTTTTTTTTTTTCTCGAGACAGGGTTTCTCTGTGTAGCCCTGGCTGTCCTGGAACTCACTCTGTAGACCAGGCTAGCCTCTCGAACTCAGAAATCTGCCTGCCTCTGCCTCCCAAGTGCTGGGATTACCCTGTCTCGAAAAACAAAACAAAAAACAAAAAAACAAGTGCTGGGATTAAAGGCATGCGCCACCACTGCCCAGCACATACCGTATTTCTCAATAGAACTTTCTTTATGAAAGAAAACTCCAAGTAGCTTCTTACAGAAATGATGTAGGTAATAACCTACTGAGAGATTTAAACAGAAATTGTCCTTCTTTTTATATTGTTTTCTTTTTAGCATATTAATATGATATATCTTAGTAAAACTTATAAAAACAGAATTAGAATCTGATCCATTTAAAAAATTACACACACACACACACACACACACACACACACATATGAATATAAGTCATACATGTTTTTATTTGGGCATTTAATTTCTCTAGCTGTTTTGAGGTTTATATCTTAAACTAATTGTTGCTAAGAAGAATGAATAGAATCATTCACCCAGTGGGTTAAAATTCAGAATTCCTTCATACCTGTGGCTTTTTCAGATTTAGTATAAAGTAAAGATACTTAACACCAGCACTTACCACCTACCTTCACAGATAAATCTCTAACAGGCTCACTAGAGAAACCAACCTAGAATGTGCAAAGCCCCAACCAAGGTCAATCCCCGGTGCTTCAAAAGCCCCACCATGTACCTTTCTCTACTGAACTTTCAGCTCCCTCTCTATATTACCCTCCATTCTGATTTGGTGTGTACCAGAGGAATTACCATTTTGCATATCTTTAGAGATTATGCCAATGGATTTATTTCTTCTGAAGCTTCCTTTTATTAAACATTGTAATTGTGAGATTTATCTATGTTAATAGGTGTCAGTCTGGTCTGTGCTTTTTAAATTTCCTCTCACCATATTTCATTGTGTGACTGTTTAGAATGTTACCTTTTAAAATTATTATTTTGGTAGTACACATATGCCTCAGCAAATATTTATAGATGTCATGTTCATTGTGTGAGTTTATTTTTCTATGTTATATATTTCCACATAAATGTATATCTTCAGCTCTGTTAGATATAGTTAGATGGCTCTCAAAAGTAGTTCTACCAACTAACACACACTGAAAGTGGAGGATATTCCCTCCTGATCCATGGTCTGAACTGGAGTTTAACCTATCTTCCTGTTCGTAGAGGAGGAGAAGAGTAAAACAGGCCAGAGATTGCACCACTGAAAGTGAATTAATCTTTGATTCTACTTTATCTTTCTAGATCTTGGAGAAATCCATTCAAGGCTGCTGGATCACAGACCAGTTACCCAAGGTGAAATCCGTTACTTTGTAAAAGAATTTGAAGTAAGTATCTAAAACTTACTTTGTTAAAAAGCATTACCCCAATTGTTAATGACCTAATACACAGAAGGGTAATTCCTGAGGTCTAAAGCCTGACTTTATTTTATGTCTTCCAAATATATGTAGCAAAAATTATGAGAAGATAAAAAGTACTTGTTAAATGCAAGACCTAATTAAACCTAATAAAGATAATAGATACACCTCAAATAAGAGATGTTTCTCAGCTGGGCAGTGGTGGCACATGCCTTTAATCCCAGCACTTGGGAGGCAGAGGCAGGCGATTTCTGAGTTCGAGGCCAGCCAAGGCCTGGAACAGAGAAACCCTGTCTCGAAAAACAAACAAACAAACAAACAAACAGGATGTTTCTCTACCTTAAGGGATTCATAAGGAGACAGAGAAATGGTTGCTGTTGTCATTGGTAGTGGTGAAGTGTTGTGTGTATGTGTGTGTGTCTCTGTGTGTGTGTGAGTGCGTGCATGTGTCCTTTTTCTGGACAACTATAATAGGACCCTTGGCACCCTCAAACTTTCCTTTGACTTCTAGTTAGCAGCATCCTTCTCATCTGTCTTCAGCTTTGTGGCCTTGGTGATGTGTGACTGCTCTTCACTGTCTCTTAAGTTATTTATTCCACAGCCCACTCAGATTTTCTCCATGTAGTCAGTGGAGACACCAGGACTTGTGGATGTGACCTTGGAATGGAATTCTGAACAGACTAAGAAAAAGGTAGACCGTGGTGTTGGGGGTCATTGGTGTCCCTTTCTTCTCTCCTTCTTTAGCTGGTCTGTCATCCTTCAGTCCCAGTCATAGTGCACTTTACCTGCCTTTGCCATTTATATATAATGTGTGTCCTCTTTGATAGTTCACAGCTTACAGAGCTATTTGAAAAAAAAATATGCAAAGCTGACAGGGACCTCTCTTTTCTGTTCTTCTCTTTATGTGTGTACAAAGAAGGTTTAAGCTGACATTCTCGTTGGCTTTACCTGTCAGCTTGATACAGCTGAAAGTCACCTGAGATGAGTTTCAACGGAAGGATTGTCCAGATTAGATTGCCCTCTAGGCATGCTGATGGGGATTGTCTTGACTCCTTATTCATAGCCTTGACTTTGGGCAACACGTCCCCTGAGCTGGTGGTTCTGCGCTGTACAGAAAGCTAGGTAGTCATGAGGTTGCAGGTGAGCAAGTAGCACTCTTCTGTTTCCACTCCAGCTTCCTGCCCTGTTGTTCCTCAGTGATGTACTATGACCTGGAAGTAGAAGCCAAACAAAGCCTTTCTTCCCTAAGCTGTCTTGGATGGTGTGCTTTCTCAGCAGCAAGCAGAATAAAACTTGAGCAGCAGACATGTTGCCCTTTAGTTTACTGGGATCACCATTAGCCACCTTGACTGATTTAGTTTTTCTTAACTATGGAGTTGCATGTTTTTTCCCCTTCATTCCAGCAACTACATGGTCATCAAGGTACCTCCCAAACTACTTTTTAAATCTTTTTATGAGTGGCCCTGCCTGTTTCCAGCCCTTCATCAGCCCTCTCTCTAGACACCTGTAGTCAGTAGACTCTACCCAGTCACCCTGTGCTTGGCCTTATTTCTGCAGACCATTTTCACACACTGGCTAGCTCGTCCAGTCCTTGCTGGATCCTCATCCACACAGCTCCTCTACCCACCTGCAGAAATCCATCTCCTCGGCCATACTTGAGAGCCCCCGGGTGGCCACACCCTGCTGCATAGCTCTGGACCCCACAGTACTGCAGCCACACTTTCTTACCCTTTCTTGAACAGTCTCAGGTATCCTCACATCAGTAATTCTATCTTTCTAAAATGTCCCTTCTTTCTATTTTTTGAATGCTTCACTCTTCTGTTTGGATTGCAGGTTGAATTATCACCACTGACCTTTCCTGCAAAGCAGCCTCCAAAGCATTCTGTCATGTTGCTCTCTGTGATACTCTGTGCAACCTCACTTCTTTCCTAATACCATGTCACAGATGACCACACCTTCAGTAGCATACAGCACGGCCCATTTATTCAAGTTCTGTATGTCAGAAATCTGCACATGGGGTGTCCAAGACCTTAGCTCAGCGTCTCAGGAAGCCAGAGTTCAGAATTCATGCTGCATTCTGCCCTGTGGCTCAGGACCTCTTCCAAACCCACACATCTGTAGTACCATTCAACTCTTCTCTGGAGGCCATTTTCAGCTTCCAGAAGAGAACTGTAGTCCATGTTACACACGTTCTTCTACCTTCAGAGCTGGAATAGGAAGGAGAGTCTCCCTCACTTGGGATTCCTCTTATGCTCTAAATCTCTGGCAAGAAGAGCTCCATCTCTGTTCAGGACACACTTTACAAGTCAGGCCTCCACAGATAACCACCCTACAGTCACCTAGTTGGAGACCTTAATGCATCCATAACTACTTCACAGTAGCTCAATAAGGTTGAGTTAACTGGTGGGTCTGTGTGCCCCAGGGGTGCAGACCTAGGAAGCCATTTAGGCTTCTGGCCAACCTGGCTATGTTCTTGTCATTCACCTTGCTGGCCTTCATCACTAGAGTTTTGACTTCAGACCTATGGTATTCTCTTTGCATCCAAAACACCTGCAACAGTGTCTGGCTGAGGTAAGAATCTTAAAACCTAGGTTTTTAAGACAGTGAATGACCTTTCTCAGAGGTCATCCTTTGTGTTAGTTTTGCTATTAAGACAATACTTACAAATCTACTTCAAAGGACATAATTGAACTAACTGTAGAAATTTGAAATTAAGATGGCTTTTGTAACCCAAGTTCTTACTCCATAAAGATTGGGTCAAGGCATGGAAATGAGTGAACTAGTTCATTAGCAGCTGAGTCATCCCTAAAATTCAGAGCCCCTGGCACGCTTTTGCTGGTATCCTCAGGAATAATGGAGATGGTTTCTGTAAATACATTATACAAATGAAACTAACTCCTGAAAAGAAATTTACATCTATGTTTTTATTATTCTGTGTTCAATTGAAGTCAGCCCCTCTTTTGACTGGAATGTAAGATAGTTTTCATGGGACAGTGGACATATATCAAAGAGGAGGTTTAAGGCCTCCAAGGTCTTTTCAAGAAGACAAAAAGAGTAGAGAGAGCATAGCGCTCTGCCGTCCATGCTTGGGGTCAAGCCCTGACCCCCTCTTACTAGCTCTGACTGTTTGCTCTGCAAGGCTCAGTTTCCTTAGCACTAAAACCGACAACAGTAATATAGACTGCAAAATGAAGGTTTTTGTGAAGGTTTAATGAGACTTCATTTTAAAATTGTTTTTCTGTGGGTCTTGATAAAAATGTTTATGTTTTTGAAAGATGATAGTAAGTACAGCAAATACACGTACTAATTTTGTAACTCTTCTTCTTTTTTTTTTTTTTTTTTTTTTTAACAATAATTTAAGTGGATTTCGATTCAGCTTTTGTCCCCCTTCAGCATGGACTGAACAACTCAGGAGGCTTCACAGATTTGTGTATCATCCCTGGACAGGCTCTGTGCTGATCTTCTCTGTGTCATTTTGACTCTAGTGTACTGCTGCCGATGTGAGCACTGGGCTCAGTCCAGTCTCTTTATCTTAGATTTATTTATTTTACCTTTATGTGGATGAGGATTTGCCTTGGTGTATGCGTATGGTCTGTGTGCATGCCTGGTGTTGCAGACATCAGAAGAGGGTGCCAGAGTCTTAGAACTGGAGTCAGGAATGATTGTGAACAACCACAAAGCTGCTGAGAACAGAACCTGGGTGTTTTGCAGTAGCTATGAGTGTTCCTAATAGCTGAGCCACCACCCAGCCCCTGGGGTCACTTTTTAATAACCCTAAATAAAATAAGGATTGCCTAGACAAATGTTATAAGCATATTCTCCACACCTACCCTTCTTCTCTCCCCTTCTCCCCTCTGTTTTCTTTGAGGACTCTCTGTATACCCTACTCTGTAGGTCAAGCTGGCCTGAATCTCACAGAGATTCTCCTGCCTCTGTCTCATCAATGCTGAGATTAAAAGTATGTGCCACCATGACCAGGTTGTATAAGCATTCTCTTGGCAAAATGTTTACCAAGGCAGTTTGATACCCAGAACCCACAAACCCACAAGGTATAAGAGACCTGCTTCTTATAAGTTGTTCTCTAACTTGTACATGTATGTGTGCACAAAGAGTAAGTGTAAAATACTTTGAAAAAGAAAAATTTACTAAAGAATAAGTTTTCCACATTGGCCATGACAGATGGAACCATATAGAGAGTTAAACAAATATGTTGAGAATTTGTATAAGTCACATGTTAGGAAATAAAATTATATGCCAAATAAAACAGATACACAAACATGGCAGCCCCTCCCCCATCCCAAGAAATAAGTCATATCTTGAGGAACTTCTCACTTAAGCATCTTCTTTTAAGGACCCAGAAATCGAATCTTGGCCTTTGATTTGCTCTTTCTGACAAGTGCTCAGTCTGTTCTTTTCACACACTGACCTTCCGTGTTTCTTCTCTCAATGGCTTACATAGTACAGCACAGAAGTTTTTCTGAGTGTCGGCATCTGCCCCATCCCTGCTCGCTATTCCACAAATCAGAAGGAGAAGGCTGGGGCCTGGAGGGGTGACATAGCTGTTAAAAGGTCTAAACTGCTCTTTCAGAGGACCCAAATTCACAAGTTGTGAGGTGGCTCACAGCTGTCTGTAACTCCAGTTCCAGGGGCCCAGTTCTCTCTCCTAGTCTATGTGGGAACCAGGCATGCATGTGGCACAAATGCTAACAACATACAGGCAAATATTCTCATGCTTGTGACTTAAAACTAAATCTAAAAACCAACAAACAAACAAAAAAGAAAAAGTAAAGAAAGATGGAATGCAGTCCAGAGACTTGAGAGTCTAGCACTGTCTATAGAGCTCACACAGACTGTAAGAAGCATGCCCTGCTCCCAGGGATCCATCTCACTGAGGAGAGACGAGCAGGGCCTGTCTCTGTCTCTGCTGCTCAGGCAGGGTTCACCTTAGGAAAAGCTGACCAGAAGCTCCAGATCTTTTTTTTTTTTTGTAAATTTTTCTCTACAAAAGAGGAACTAAGTACCACACGGTGGCAGCGTTTCTCAGAATTCCTCAAGCACGGGCATACTGTGACAGGTTCTGTCTTCTTTGGTGTTTAAGAACAGTTGGCAGCCTTTCTTCTAACTTTACAGTTTCTCCCTGTACTCCAGTGATCATGACAGGCAAAGCTTGGCATTGTGTGCAGCCTCTGTTAGGGCACGTTCCCACCCCAGCACTGTGAAAGGCAGTGTGGCAGTTTCCTGGGGAGAGACATTGTCCTTTAAGTCACTGTGGTCCTAGCTGTAGATGAGACACCATGGTCTCTGATAGAGAAGAGAGGGTAGGTAATCCGTGTTATTGTATTAGAATGTGCATGGCATACCTCCTTCAGTGCTCTGCTGAATACTTGCCAAACACCCAGGCGTCTCAGTGGGAATGGGTTTAGTTACGAGTAACAGATACATGGCTTCAAAATGGGCTTGTTTTTCTTGCATAGTCCTGGGACAGATCTGGAAAGTCCAGGGCTGGCATGGTGACTCTATGATGTCAGCTGCTTCCAGCCTGTCTCCTTGGCACATAGCCCTTACACTTAAAAGTGGCTATGGAGCCTCAGTCATTATGTCTCCACTTTGTTTGGTAAAAGAGAGGGCCAACAGGAAGCAGCAGCCAGCCTCTGTTAGAGGCATCTGATTACTCCAGACACGGTCCAAGTGTTGGTAACATGGAATAAGAATGATGCAGAAGTTGTCTGTCTGTCTGTCTGTCTGTCTGTCTGTCTGTCATGCTACACATGGGAAAGTAAGTGACAGATAACCCTGACAGCTAGAAAGCTTCAACTGTAAATTCAGAATGTGTCCAAGAAATACACGCAAATCAAGAGCTTCCCTGCTTCTGAGTAGAGTCCCAAGAGTACAGTACTCAAGGAACAGTTTCCTGTGGCGCTCCACAGGAGATTGCCATAGAAGAGTGACATTTGAGCAGAGAGAGGCCCTCCAGGTGTGGCAGAAATGCTATAACACAGGAATCAGAAGGAATTGCCTTCATGGATATGGCTGTCAGGTAGTGGGCATGGTGGTACACTCTGTAATCCCAGAATGTGGAAGGAAGTTCAAGACCAGTGTGGAATCTAGTGAAACTTGGTCTTAGGAGACAAGATAAACACATTCAAACGTGAGATGAACTGGTCAAGGGAGACCTCGTTCAAGGCAGCACCATCTGGAATTTCATAGCATCCAGACCTTTCATCCCATAAGGTTGATTAGTATTGAGACTGAAGGCTGGATTTAGTTGTCGGCCCTTTTCCCTAATGCCATCAGGTTACATCTCTAGGACGAAAGTTATATAACAGTAACAATAGTTACTAACAGTGTAAGTGCTTATGGCTAGGCATTGTTTTAAGTATGTTACACTTTTTATTCATTTCAACTTGAATTAAGGAGTTAAAGTATATGTAGTTTTGTGGGAGGTTACATGTCATTATGTTATTGCTGCTAGGCATTGCTCCAACAGTTTTTAACCTAGAAATAAGATGCAGTGTTTAATGAGCACTTCAGCTTAACAACAAGCGCTTCTCAGGCAGAAGGGCTCCATGAAGAGACTCAGCTGTGTAAAAGGCAAGTCACTCTGCAGTCCTCTTCATTATGTAAGGTAGTTTATATCACTAGTGGGTAGGACTACTAATCACTTGCCAGAGCTAGAGAGATACTAACGTCAGTAGAGTGCTTGCCTAGCGTGTGTCTGATCTCCAGGACTGCATGATGTTGATATAATCTCAGCAGTCAGAGGTAGAGGAGGAGGATCAAGGCAGTTCTCAGCGGTACAGCAAACTCAAGGCTATCCTGGACTATATGACCCTTTCTCACAATAGCAACAACAACAATAATAATAGAGG